TTTTTATTTTTATAGAGACAGTCTCACTATGTTGCCTAGGCTGGTCTCAAACTCCTGGCCTCAAGTGATTCTCTAGCCTCAGTTTCCTAAAGTGTTGGGATTACAGGCATGAGCCACCATGTCTCACCTCTTATATTTTATTATTATTATTATTTTGAGACAAAGTCTCATTCTGTCACCCAGGTTGGAGTGCAATGGCGGGATCACAATTCACTGCAGCCTCAAACACCTGGCCTCAAGTGATCCCACCTCACCCTCCAGAGTAGCTGGGACTACAAGTGTGCACCACCAACCTGGCTAATGTTTGATTCATGTTTTGTAGAGATGAGGTCTCTCTGTGTTGCTCAGGCTGCTCTTGAACTCCTGGCTGGACTCAAGTGATCCGCCCTCCTCAGCCTCCCAAATTGCTGGGATTACAGGCCTAAGACATCTGCCCAGCCACTTCTTGGCCTCTTTTATGTCTTTAACCAGTGAAGCTTTAAGATCAAATGCTGTTTATTCTTTATTAGTAACATATTACTTTTGGCAAATCTCACAACCATGGGACACCAACCAATCAACTTCAGCATGGAGGTTAAGAACAGCTGCTCTCTAGCCTGGGCAACATAGCCAGATCTTGTCTCTGATTAAAAAAAAAAAAAGAAAAAGAAAAAGCAAAGAGTAATGGCTCACATCTGTAATCCCGGCACATTGGGAATCCAAGGTGGGAGGATGTCTTGAGCCCAGGAGTTTGAGACCAACCTGGGCAACATGGCAAAACCCTGTCTCTACCAAAAATACAAAAATTAGCTGGGTGTGGTAGCATATGCCTATGGTCTCAGCCACTCTGGAGGCTGAGGTGAGAGGATGGCTTGAGCCCAGGAGGCAGAGGTTGCAGTGAGCTGAGATTGCACCACTGCACTCCAGCCTGGGTGATAAGAGTCAGACCTTGTCTCAAGATAAATAAATAGCCAGGCCCATACCTGCAGTCCTAGCTATTCAGGAGTCTGAGGCAGAAGACTGAGGCTGCAGTGAGCTGTGATCACACCACGTCACTCCAGCCTGGACAGCAGAGCAACACCTTGTCTCAAAAAAAGAAACAGAACAACAGCTCTCAGGCTTACATAATTTAGCTGATTATTTACATTGTTAAAATATTAGGTGTGAAGTGTGCAAGCATGAGGGCCCATGTATTTAGTTTATAAGAGGAAAAATTATGAATGATCAATTATGTCTATGTTCTGCTGAAGAAAACTATAATCTAATACTTTTGACAGAACCTATTGTCATTTATGATAATTAAGAATCAATATATAAAACATTTACCTAGAGACAGTTGTTTTTCTTATTTTATTTCATTTATCTAAGACAAAGGCCATATTTAGGTAGAATTACTTACTTCAAATACTTTTAAGGGTGGATAAAGAAGGATTAATGGGTACAGAAAATGCAGTTACATAGTAGGAATAATATCTAGTTTTAGGTGGCACACTGGACTATTATTGTTAAATATAGTAGCCATGGTTAACAATAATTACTATAGTTAGCAATAATTTATCCTATATTTCAAAATAACTTGAGGAATGGATGTTGAATGTTCCCAAATAACAATGTTGAGGTGATGGATATCCCAATTACCCTGATTTGACCATTACACATTGCATGTTTGTATAAAAATACATGTACCCCATAAATATGTACAACTATTATGTAGCCATACCAATTAAAATTTTAAATTACAAAAGAAATTTTATAATGATAGATATCAGTTGATATAAAATTTAAATAGGGTAGCTTAGAAATATACGAATGGATTCATAGGTTTTGTTTTTGAGACAAGGTCTCACTGTCACCCAGGCTGAAGTTCAATGTGCAATCATAGCTCACTGCAACCTTGATTTCCCAGGCTTAAGCGATCCTCCCACCTCAGCCTCCCAAGTAGCTGGGAGTACTGGCCCATGCCACTATGCCCAGCTAATTTTTGTGGAGACGGGGGTCTCACTGTTTTTGCCCAGGCTGGTCTCAAACTCCTGGGTTCAAGTGATCCTCCCACTTCAGTCTTCCAAAGTGCTGTGATTACAGGTCTGAGCCACTGTGCCCAGCCTGGATTAGTGGTTTTGATAGCTGAGGAAGATTAACATATCTAAATATTTTGTTTCCAGATACTGGAGGTAAAGCTGAATAACTGCTTACTCATTTTTTCCCTAAGAATTGTGATATACTTGTTAATAAAAATTAAAATGTTAAGATTTGCCTTTTTAAAAACTATCAAAACAGAAAAGATGAATGAGAAAGAAATAGAAAGACAAAAAGAAAAAACAGAGAAAAGAAAAATGCTACAAATATATATTGAGTACTGCAGGAGTCTAGGAAAACAATAACTTTTCTTTTTCTTTTTCTTTTTCTTTTTTTTTTTGAGACAGAGTCTTGCTTTATCGCCAGGCTGGAGTGCAGTGGCACGATCTCGGCTCACTGCAACTTCCGTTTTCCGGTTTCAAGCAATTCTCCTGCCTCAGCCTCCCGAGTAGCTGGGACTACAGGCACACACCACCATGCCCAGCTAGTTTTTTGTACTTTTTAGTAGAGACGGGGTTTCACCATGTTGGCAAGGATGGTCTCCATCTCTTGACCTCATGATCCACCCGCCTTGGCCTCCGAAAGTGCTGGGATTACAGGTGTGAGCCATCGCGCCCAACCAAAAAATAACTAGTTTAACAAGTCTTTTAGATTTTCCTTGAGGGGTTCTGACCACATATAGACATGAGGTTCTTGACCCTCTTTTCTTTCTTTTTCAGACTCCCATATTATAATCACTCTGCATTTAGATTGAGTCAGTTCAATGGCAAAATATGGTGGAAAACCAGCTGATTTTCAGTGTATTTCACTATTTTTTAAGAAAATACTTTGGTTCCCTATTGTCTATCATATAAAATAGATCTTAAAGGAATAATTTCTTACATGTCCCTAATGCCATTCTTGTGCTACTTCTTTTTACTCTCTACCTTGGCCTCTGCATCAACATTGCATGTTAATTTCAAGTTTATGCTTCTATCTTATATGCCTTTTGCTCGTTGTCATTTTAAATCTGTCACTCTCTTCTAGCTCTTGCTCAAAACATCTTAAATCCTTCCGTGTCCAATCATATTCCATCTAACATATTTCCGTTCAGTACTTGTTCAATTTTACTATTGACTAGCCTTGTGTATCTATACTAACAAATGGGTCAACAAATGAAAGGAACTAAAGCTTATTGAAAGCATACCATAGTCAGGAAATGCCATTTATGGCTTTACATAATTGACAGTATTAATTCTTTATAGAACAAAAGGTTGCCTCAGAGAATTTGCATACCTTGCAAACAGGCTAAAAACTAAAAATTGGCAGAAGTAGGGTTCAGTCCATGGCCATCTATTTCTAAAGCTTATCTACTCTTCATCTCGTATCCTGCTTCCTAATCCAAAATGGTGGCTGATTAAAAAAAGAATTCCTATTTTTACTTTGGCAAAAATGTAGTTTGTATTTATGTTTGAACATAGCAATGTTCAAAAGTATAGAAATGTATGTCAAACCAAATAGTAAGTCCACACTATAAACTTTTAATAGAGTTACTTTCTCTTAGGCTGGCACAAAACACCAGGATAAGCAAGAATCCCCTTTCATGAGCTTTGATTAGACAGTGGTCATAAGTTTGGAATGCCTTTTATATTATTTTTTTCTATGAAATATTATCTGTTGTAACTAACTCCTTGTCATTTCAGCTATATTTTGTTAGATTATGAGCAGAGATTATTTTTTCTTTCAGTGTTACCCATTCCCTAAAATTTGTCTAGTTGTAAGTAGTTATTTAATACATATTTGTGAGTTAACTATAATTAGAAAACCCAGTTTGCCTTATGACAGGCTAATTTTTGAATGTGTAATAATGTCCTATGTAACCACTCTCATCAAAGAGAGAATTCTACCCCCTATTAATAAAATATAAGGCAATAATAAAAATGTAAGAAAACTGTATAATCAACCTTCAACGAAGTTTTTTCTTAAACTCTATCGGTATTGACTTTCATTTTGTATGCTCTATATCTTCCCTATTTTTGTTAACAATATCTCCATCATCTTCGACTTCTTCCTTACTTTGTGATCTTCAGCCATCTCTATTCCTTTGAACTTAAACAAACAATCTTCAGTTCAATCTGTGCAATTTTAAATAGACAATTTAAAAATATATTTTAGCAAGTCCTCTGGATACTGTGCTCCCAGCTTATATGCCTTTTGCTCCTTCGTTGTCATTTTATATCTGCCACTCTTCTCTTACTCAAAATATCTTAAATCCTTACTTGTCTAATTATATTTCATCTACAGTATTTTCCTTCAGTACTTGTTCAGTTTTACTACTATTGACTAGCCTTGCTCGTCTATATTAATGAAAAGGTGAAAGAATTAAAGGAACTAATGCTTACTGACAACCTACCATATGAAAAGCCAGATTCATATTGCTTTTTGCCACTAGATGGCGCCTATGTCTAAGTAACAATCCCTATTCTTTAAGTTAAACTATTTGGGAAAAAACCTTGTCTTCCTTTGAGGTAAATCCAACTGGTGACTTTTCATGATAGGTGAAATGTATCTCTTTAAGAATTAAAGAGGCCGGGCATGGTGATGCACACATGTAATCCCATCACTTTGGGAGGCCGAGATGGCCAGATCTCTTGAGGTCTGAAGTTCCAGACCAGCCTGGCCAAAATGGTGAAACTCCATCTCTACAAAAAATACAAAAATTAGCCAGGCATGGTGGTGGGCACCTGTAATCCTAGTTACTTGGGAGTCTGAGGCAGGAGAATCGCTTGAACCTGGGAGGCAGAGTTTGCAATGAGCTGAGATCAGGCCACTGCACTCCAACCGGGATGACAGAGCCAGACTCTGGCTCAAAAAAAAAAAAAAAGAGTTATTAATTCTATAAGAATTGTTCATTTTAAGCAATCCATCTAAAAGAGCTTACACATTTCTCTCCTTTCCTAAACTAGGGTTTATAAACCTGTTTCTTGATGATTAATAGGGAGCATCAATCATGGTACTACACAATGACATGCAGATTATTCTAGTATTTGAGCCTACATTAAATGAGGTAAGTATATATTTTGAGATAACTCTTTACAGTATTTTAGCAGTATTGTAATTTGAGGCTTGTTTTTAAATAAGCATTTTTTCCTTTTTTCCAGATACTACTTTTTAAAAGGAACTACTAATAACAAACATCTTCTTTCTTCAAATTTCATTTAGAAATATTGCCTCCTTTCATGTTCTGTGATCAAATAAACCACATAAATTATTAGAATTGGATTTAATACAAGTCTTATTAGTGAATTACATGGGCTTTACAATATTTTATGAAATCTGTTTTGAGTGATCTATGACATATTCTTGAGATACTGAGATGTTTTGATAGTTAAATTGCTTAAAAGTGGTATATTTTAAATATTGATTATATTTCTATTTAATAACTGAGTTCTACAGCATTCAAAAAAACTTGAATGTTACTTCCTATATTAAGATTTCCCTTTGACTTCTGACATTTTAAAATGCCTTTAATTTTAGCATTAATAATATTATTGATTCCATTAAAGTGACTGCAGGTCTGACAACTTAATTACCTTAAATAAGTAATTTCATTCTGTTTTTTGCTATTTGTTTTTTTTCCTGAGACTGAGTCTTGCTCCGTTACCCAGGCTTAAGTGCAGTGCAGTGGCACAATCTGGACTCACTGCAACCTCCGCCTCCGCCTCCTGGGTTCAAGTGATTCTCCTGCCTCAGCCTCCCGAATAACTGGGACTACAGGTGCATGCCACAATGCCCAGCTAATTTTTGTATTTCTAGTAGAGACGGGGTTTCACTATATTGGCCAGGCTGATCTCAAACTCCTGACCTCAGATGATCCACCCACCTCGGCCTCCCAAAGTGCTGGTATTACAGGCTTGAGCCACCATGCCCGACCTGCAAATGTATTTCCATATGACTACTGAAAAAGTAATTCTGTTTATAAAAGGGAAATATTTAAAGAAACTTAGGACAAGCATAATATTAACTAGCAAAATAATTCTCAAGCTTTAGTATGCATAAGAATCAAGTAGAAATCTTGTTACAATTGTATACAGATTTCAGGGTTACAATGCCAGAGACTGTTTCAATTGGTATGAGATAGAGATCAGAACTGTGAATTTTAAACAAATATTGCAATTGATTCTTTTATCTCTGTGCTTCTCAAGGTTCTTAGCTTGCACTAAGGAAGAAATTCTCATTTGAATGGATGTGTGAAGTTGAGTGTTTTGTTTTGGATTCAAAATTAAGATGTGTTATAGAACTATAACTTACAAGAGGAAATGTAGTTTTTCACATCAAAGTCTCTACTAAAAAGTAAGGTAATACTTACAATCTTATTTTATAGTTATTATCCCAATAAATAATACTTGAAGATATCTCTTGATTGCTGAAATTACATCTGAGATAGTGCACTAAAATCACTTCAGATTATTATTATTAGTAAAACTTTCAATATGCAATTATGAAAAATTAACTAAAATTAAGGTAACTATCTCAGGTTTTTTTTTTTTTTTTACAGTGATCCTTACTTTTTAAAATGCCAACTCCTTTCTAAAAATCAACTTCTGCTTCCTTTACCTAGTACTAACGCTTTTCCATTCCTTTTAAGTGACCCTGTTTTGAGCAGTGTTAACACCTCAGAAAAATCTCCAGATATGTGTCCTGTATCTTTTGGTCTACTTTAATAACAAAACAGAGTCTCCTTGTTATCCTATTTGCTCAACCAATATACATTCTTGCCCCTGTGTTTATATAGTACATTCATTAGTAGTTTTTACTTGTCTAGTCTTTTGGACCATTAAACTAGAGTTTATTATCCTCCAGGTGATGAATCTTATTTACAAATTCATTGCAGATCATGTGTGGGCAGCATGATTGCTGATCCTGCCTAACGAATACATTTAGTGTTTAATTTTTTTTTCTGTTGCTATTTTCTAATTTGAAGTGGGTAGACCAAAACCAATTAATTCTATTCCAGTTTTTCAGTACTTTGCTGCATGCTTCTTCTGTCACTACAGATGCTTATGATTCTTAATGTATAGCTTTAAATAACATTGGTATTAGAGATGTGCTGATACTAAATTACATGTTTCTAATATCTGTGTCTTTCAGGTAAAGCAGAGCTGCTAATTACTTTGAAGTTTTTTTAAGTCACATCTTCATAATTTAAAGTAATTTACCTTAAACAAAACTACTTATAATCAAATTGCTGTAATAATAATCATAGAACAAGCAATATTTAAGAACATTTGAAAACATGGCTCAAAGACTATAATACCTAGCTGAATGTAGGTATCTGACTTTTTACTAGACAGAAGTTTTATATATATATATATATATATATATATATATATATATATATCTACATATAAAATTAAGAAATAGACATGTGAGGTATTTTAGATTTAGAAGTTAATAGGTTTTCATACTCCTCCATTATCTAGTCAACCAAAATGTAAAATGAAGTAGAAGAGGAGTTTCGCATTTATAAAGACAAGCATTCATTGAGGCTGTGATAAGACTCCAAAATTTCTAGTGATGTTTACAGTTTGTCACTAAGCTTTAGCATTAGAGTGAGTGAATGAGAAGGTGAATTAAATGAACAAGTAAATATTTATGTAAATTTATCTTGACATAGCCAAAGCCCTAATGTCACAAGAATCTAGTATGTAATAAAAGTATCTTCATTTTTCTTTCATTTTAAAAAACTGTGAACTGGTTCTATATCATAATATTAGATTAATGACACTTTAACAACTTCAACCTTAACATCATAATAGACAACCAAGTGCAAAAAAAAAATCTCTCTGACATTAAGTAGCACTAGACACTTGGGAACATAGAGTCTTGAGTATGATGCAAATGGATTTAGTATAACTATTTTCAATATGTATTATATTTCTAGCACTGTGCTAGGTATGCTTATATAGGTTATTTCATTTAATCTTCAATCCTAAACATCTTTTGCAGTGAGGAACAGTAATTTATTCCTGGCTTATTAGTTTTTCTGTTCTCAGTTTTATATGCTCCAGTAATAGAAAGTACTACTATCCTTTATGAACACTAAGGCTGTGTAAGTACTTGAAGTGATTCAAACATCATCAGATGGGTGCTTGAACTAGATGTATTAAAAATTCATCCAGCTCTGAGATTCTACACATTTATGCGCTGATTTAGATAATGGAATTAAAACCATGCAGCTAGGACACAAAACCAGCAGAACAATATGAGTATGAGGCAGAAACAATGTCCTGATACTCAGAGATAAGTTGCATCCATGGTAGTCTGTCCAGGAAAGTTTGGAGCTGATTATGAATATAAAATTAATTGTATGTCCTTAATGCTCCAAATTATAGTAAAATAATCACCTAATAACTAAAACATGAGAAAGAACCGACTAAAAAGAAACCAATTTTCCAATTTTTTAAATAGCCAGCTTAATAATCTCACCTACAGAATGAGCAGAGGTTAGAACATTCTAATCCTATTTTTCCGTAGGACACAAAAATAGAAGCCGCTTGCATTGAAATAGTACTGTGACTAAGCCTAGCCTCACTGTTGCATGTTTCTAATTGCATGCACTTCAAGGTTTGAATTTTTTTAGAAAGCTATTAAAAAGTGGGAAAGTAGGCCCTAAAGTATGACTTAGAGTTTACTTTAAAAAAATTCAACTACTTAAAATTCACTAGTATTTAAGGCAGTGTTATTTTTCACTTCTTTTTACTTTATTCATTTTCATTTTTAGAAGTAGTCATACAGATAACTTATATACTCATGTGCATGGACTTAAAAAAATAACAACCTGGAAATAAAAATGGCCAGTTAAAAAACATCGAGGAGAGAATAAAGACTATTTAATAAATTTTGCCTTACTTTAATATTATATTTTGGCTACTTTACATGACTAATTTGAATTTGAATGAATTCCCATGGCAAAAAATTCCTAAGTGTTTGCTCCAATGAATTGGGAAGAATGTTTGGTTTTCCTGCTTAATCTCTCAGCTATTTATGCATCTTTTCTGTAGTATAGTTGCTTTTTGTGAGGCAAATAGGTTCTTAGAGTCAGTCCCTAATTTCTCATTCAAATTAATCTTTACTTTTTATTGTTGTAAAATATATTTAATGTGATACCATTTTAACTTCACGTTGCTGCACAATCATCACCACCGTCCGTCTCTAGAACTTTTTCATCTTTTTAAAAACCCTCATTGTTAGATGTAGAGGTAAGAAATTGTTGCGGCATTTGTGACCCCTACTTTACCTTTCTTAGCTAGTTTCCACAAGATAAATTTGCCAAAGACCTTCTAATCTAAAAGGCCTCATTTATCTGTAAATGCTAATACTATTAGGTAGCTAAGAAAAACGATGACATCAAAAAGTTGATGGGCCAATGCAAATTTTGAGGAATAATAAGGATATCTGCAAGCTCATAGATGTTTTGAGCTATCTGTAAAATTATAATCATATATTTGAAATAAAAACTTTTGAAAACCACTAAAATGAAAAGCTAAAGTTATGAATTCCTGTAGCATTAGAATTTTTTTTCTCTAGAATATGAAATATGGCACAAAACTTATGAGTTTATGTTATATTAGGGACAAAACTTGTGAAAAGTTAATTCTTTATATATTAATTATTTATATATATGAACATATTACCATCGGTAATGCATCTCCAAAACAGCTTCATACGGTTGTTCTGAAAATGTGTTTGTAAGATAAGGCCAAACTCACTCTTCCAGGAAATCTATTCATTCCATAATTTAGTTTTCAATTGAGCCTAAACATACCCCAGGTGAAAATAACAAAATTCAGATATGTCAGTATTGACGTACATGTAGGTGGTTCTTTTATTATAATTTGTGAAATGCTTGCAAGCTGTCTTAGTGAGGGATCTCACATGGAGAGAGATAATCAAGATACAAGATGACAAAGGTCAATCAAGTTGTGCAGTTTCATGAAGTGATCAAGTACAGTATGTTTTAAACAAAGAAAATTGTTGACCTATTCAAAGGTGAGGTGCTATGGTATAGCATTTTAGTGTAAATTATTTGATATCTTAAAAGCTATTTCTTATTATTTCTCTTCAATCTAAAGTGACTGACAACACTTCTGAAATCACTTGCTTCCATTTGAGTGGCATTTCATTAAAACATCCCAAGCTAAGATTCCTCTTTATTCCTTTATTAAGAACCGGAGTCTACATCAAAACTGTCTACAACCAGGAGTTGTTTGTATTTATGTCTTTACATTAACTACTTTTCAATTGTATTGAGAAAATCGCTTTTGTTTTTCAATTATTTACTGGATTCTAAAAGAAACAGTTGTCAGAAATAAGTTTACAGTGGTGAATGGCTGCTTCAATAGGTGTAAAATCAATTTATAACTTTTATTTAACAAAAGGGATCTGCCAAACTATCCACTGTTCCTTTAGTTACTCTTTTTGATAGCAATGATATACCTAATTCCAAAGGGAGAATGTTGTTCTTTAAAAATCAAAACAGTACTTTACCACCAAGTCAAGCATATCATGTGCTATATTGACATTTTTGAGGAAATAAGTTTTTTTCAAACTTTCTTCTTTATAAGTCTGAATTTTCTCCTTGCAATGATATGGTAATCTCTTCACTCGGCAAGTCAATCTATTTAAGAATCAAAGTTTACAGTGAAGGGAAAAATGATGAAACTTACTTAATGTTAATATGGAGAAATGGGCTGGGCACAGTGGCTCATGCCTGCAATCCCAGCACTTTGGGAGGCCAAGGTAGGTGGATCACCTGTGTCAGGAGTTCAAGACCGGCCTGGCCAACATGGTGAAACCCTGTCTCTACTAAAAATACAAAAAATTACCGGACGTGGTGGCACACACTACTCGGGAGGCTGAGGCAGAAGAATTGCTTGAACCCGGGAGGCAGAGGTTGCAGGGGACCAAGATCAAACCATTACACACCAGCCTAAGAGACAAGAGCAAAAACTCCATCCCAAAAAAAAAAAAAAAAGATGGAGAAATGACAAAAACTGCAGAGGAAACGGATGGACCAACTATGCTACCAAGTGCTACGCTAAAATAAAGCTTATAATTTTAACTTTTTTACACTTTACCCTTTACATTTCTCTTGAGGTCAACATCTACGCTTCAAAATCAATGACTAAAATTGCATAAGCAAGCGCAGTAGGTAGATACGTTGTCTAATAGAGTTAGGGTGGTGCCAGTCTTCATTTGGGGTGAGAGAACGATTGTTAACTTAAAAAATTTTTAAAAGGCCATATAAGACGTTTAGGTTCTTGCTCAAACATATCAAACATTGCAATGAATTTGCAAGGTGGAAGATTTTGGTACAAATAATAACTGGAGAGGTATAGTGCTTGCAAATACTCAGAAAATAATTTTAAACTACCAAAGGCAAAGCATTAATGGCCTGCATTTGAAAACAAAACTGTTGCATTGAAGCATAGCCAACTAGGCAAAAACACATGGTTCCTGGGGACCCCGTCAAGTAGATAAGTTATTTCGGGTCTACCTGAGGAGGGACAAAGATGAGAGGAGCCATTTAAAAGCAGTTCTGCTTTATGCCTCTTTTGTTCTTGCCAGGGTGCCCATTTTTAAAGTATTCAAACAAAGAACCACAAACCGCCAGTCACACCATAATACCAGCTTGTGTTTACATTTTCAGCTCTCCGGATCGTGATCCTATTCAGTGCACACAGAGCGAGTGCTCGTGTACACGCGCCCGTCCGCCATCAGGAGGACTGAAACTGTAAACACAAGCTGGTATTTTGGTGTGATCACGCTAATATGGCGGTTTGTGAGGTCAAGGGGTGGAAGGTGAATTATGGATCCAGAATTTCCTTGCTTTTGTCAGTTTAAGTCAGGCTGCTTGTGCAGTAGCTGTTTTTCAAACTTTAATAACTCAGCTATATTTTAAAGCAATGGAAACCTACCTTAAATAATTAGAGGGGCTACACTGGAGAAGTGTCTTCCCAGGAAGGTAGTGGAAGCTCAATTCCGCAAAACCTTTAAAATTAGACCATGAAAGGCATGTTACAGCCTAGTTCTCAAGATAGCCATGAGTTATTCACAGCATAAAGTGTTGGGTAAAACAACCCAAGGTCTTTATAAAGCTTCTCGTCTCAATGGAAAACCATTTAGGTGGCTTGTTTTATTATTAAAAGTTCCCTTAACCAAAAAAATTGAAAATAGTTTATTGAATTGACCAGCATGCCCTAAAAAGAAATGGACCAAGTTTCAGATGGAACTCAGAATACTTTTCTCACTTTGCTGTTGAGGAAAAAATTATCTTTGTTGTTTAGCTACAGGTAGGTAATATATCTTTATCCAAAGTTGTACTAGATGGGATCTTCAAGGTTATTTGGATTTTGAAGTACTAAGAAAACATCCTCAGTAGAAAAATATCAGAAATGGTATTCCGACTCACCCTACCAAGGACAAGAAGTTCCAGATCATTAGGAACAGATATATTGGAGCTTGGTCCTGTAAAAATACAGGATAGGTAACAAATATATAACATTAGTTGTATAGCCACATTTATTCCTTCATTGAGATACAGGTAAGTATAAAAATTTTATTTTATTAATTTTAAGAAAGTATAACATTACTAAAGTCATCCAAGTTAGAAAGATAAATGGAAGTTTCAGTAAATGGGATGCATTTATACTACTCTTAGCTCTTTTGAGTGAAGGTTACATGAGGACTGGTTATGTTTCCAGTAAAGTGATCTTAAATTTCATTCCTGCCGACAACATGGACATTTCTTTCAATGTATATTCTTTATATTTGTGTGAAAAGTAGTTCTAAAGTAGAAGTCAGTTATCAAACTTCATATGGAAATGGAAAATGGAAAGAAATTTTTCTCTTCATAAATGAATTTATTTCTAGTTCATCCAAATTCAGTTTGAGACAAAGTTCAAAAGAAGGAAAGGTTTTTCACCCTAAGGCAAACAGACTAGTAGTAATGAGTGTGTATATATGTGTTGGATATTATACATTTGTATTCTTAGTTGTCCAATAGAGACCAATTATTTTTGTGACAATATTGCGGTTTCTAGAAGTAAAAAGTTCAGGTGGTCTTTCAGTCCATTATAACCTTAAAGCTTTCTAAAAGCAGGGAATTATCAGCGATCAATATTTTCTTTCAGAAACCATCTCTGGGCCAGGCGCGGTGGCTCACGCCTATAATCCCCGCACTTTGGGAGGCCGAGGCGGGTGGATCACAAGGTCAAGAGATCGAGATCATCCTGGTCAACAAGGTGAAACCCCGTCTCTACTAAAAATACAAAAAGTTAGCTGGGCATGGTGGCGCGTGCCTGTAATCCCAGCTACTCAGGAGGCTGAGGCAGGAGAATTGCCTGAACCCAGGAGGCGGAGGTTGCGGTGAGCCGAGATCGTGCCATTGCACTCCAGCCTGGGTAACAAGAGCGAAACTCCGTCTCAAAAAAAAAAAAAAAAAGAAAGAAAGAAACCATCTCTGGACTAATACAGAACAATGATGACTTCCTCCCTTTCATGTACATGTGTTTATATGTAATAATTTATGTAATAGATGCATACAATAAGCAAACCTACAAGTAAATATCTAGAATAACTAAATAATTCATATTAGTTTATTTTAAGTGAATTCATTTCAGGGTTATCTTGTCTCTTCTATTAGATCGTCAATTATTTAAAAGTTAGAACTACCGTACATTTAAATAAAAGTTGTAGCTCCCAATAGCATCATTCATTCTTTTGGTGTTCAATTAAGATGACAGTGCTGATGAAAAATGGAGATGGTGAGAAGTAAGAAGAAAACAAGATAGCTGGGTGCACTAGTGTGTACCTGTAGTCCCAGCTGTTCGGGAGACTGAGGCAAATGGACCTTTTGAGCCCAGAAGTTGAAGCCCAGTACCAGCAACCTAGGAACACCTAATTCTCTCTCTCTCTCTCTCTCTCTCTCTCTCTCTCTCTCTCTCTCTCTCTCTGTCTCTCTCTCTCTCTCACTCTCTCTTTCTTTCTCTCTTTTTAATCAGGGGAAAGCTTCAATGTAGTCCCCCACTATCACAAACTCTACAGTCGGGTTTTCTCCATTTGGGGAAAACGCAGGGATCAGCATAACCCTGAGGAGTGCAACGCATAAGCCTGGCCCTGGGAAAACCACCTTCGTGATCATGGTATCTCTCCTGACAGATAAGTACGGAAGACCTAATTTCTAAAAGAAAAAAACATAAACAAAACAGAATGTAAGGAGAGGCTAATGTCCTGCAGGACTGTTAAGACCTAAGTAAGATTGTTTACATTTTTACCTATTATATCATTAACATGCCTTTTATTGCTTGTTCTACAACAATGTATCCTTCCTCTGTTGACTTTAGAAATAAGAAGAAAAAGAGAAGTGGATTTAATGAACAAAGAAAATGTTATGAATGATTAAAACCAAACAAAAAGCCACATTATTTCTTGCTGTATTTTCCCATGCTTTTAAGTTTTTTACCTGCTTATTTCTTTCTTTGAAGCATTTATAGAAAAATATATGAACGCAGCTTTATTTTCTACTTGTTGAGTTAAAAACTTTTCTTCCTGGGAGGATGAGTGGCTATTTCTGGATCTGAATCGTTAAAGCGGTAACTATCACTAGAGTTTGTTCCATCTTATTAGTGTAATACCTTTTCATTCAGAAAATAGCAATACATTTGGCCAGGCACAGTGGCTCATACCTATAATCCCAGCACTTTGGGAGGCCAAGGCGGGTGGATCACTTGAGGTCAGGAGTTCAAGACCAGCCTGGGCAATATGGTGAACCCCCATCTCTACTAACACAAAAATCAGCTGGCATGGTGATACACACCTGGAATCCCAGCTACCAGGAGGCTGAGGCAAGAGAATTGCTTGAACCTGAAAGGTGGAGGTTGCGGCGAGCCAAGATCACACCACTGCACTCTAGCCTGGGAAACAGAGTGAAACTCTGTCTCAAAAAAAAGAAAAGGAGAGAGGTTGGGGGAAAATAGAAAATTGCAGTAAACTTTAGGATATAATGCTTTTATTTGCAGTTATTCTGCTGACCAGATCAGATTCTGTAGAGGCCATGTGAGAAAAGTCATGCCTATATTTTCTCCTTAACTATCTTAATATTAGAAGTCAGCTTAAAATGGCCTTAAATGAGACGACCTCAAGGCCTCAACCATAAAAAACTTTCCTCTTGTCAAGAAAGATTTCTGTTAAGACTAAGGTATGTTTCAGAGAAAAATAATGAATGGCTTGGTTTACATATTCAGGATTTTTTAAAGTGGAGATCAAAACCTGTAGCTGAAATCTAATGAGACTGAACAAGTAAGTTTAAGCATTTGTAATATTTTAAAAATTTACTTTTTTAGGAAGGAAAGTTCTCATTATATGTCAGCATGTCTCTTCCTTACTCATTATTTAAAATATTTCTCATGATAAAATAAGTAAAAACAGGCGGGGCACAGTGGCTCACGCCTATAATCCCAGCACTTTGGAAGGCCAAGGTGGGCAGATCACCTGAGGTTGGGAGTTCAAGACCAGCCTGACCAACAAGGAGAAACCCAATCTCTACTAAGCTAGGCATGGTGGCGCGCACCTGTAATCCCAGCTACTCAGGAGGCTGAGGCAGGAGAATTGCTTAAATCCAGGAGGCAGATGTTGTTGCAAAGCATGGAGACCACTCTCCAGCCTAGGCAACAAAGCCAGACCCCATCTCAAGCAAAACAAAACAAAAACACATGAAACAGAGGAGAAATGGTTTCCAGCCTGTTTGAGATATTTCAGAAATCATAAAAACTTTTTTGTATGCATTGGGGACCATTCATGCACTCTAGATAGACCCTCAAGTCTTTTTCTTCTATGCTGTTTGCCTAGACATTCCTGCACAATTATTTATGTTATTGTTTATGAGTACGTCTCACATTTGCTTCTTTTGAACCTCATTTAAAAAATATTATTTATCTTAATTTAAATTTTAGTTTATTTTTCCAGGATACTAACCACTCCAATTTATTCAATATCATTTGCAAATTGGTGCAGTATAGTTTTGAATTTTTTGAATAAACAGAAAATATGTTGATTATTATGGGTTCCAAGTCATTCCTCAACCTCCTCTTGGTAAGGCTGTGGAAAAACTTGCTCATCAGTCTAAAAGTAGTATGACTGAGAAGATATTTTCCTCACTTATTAAAAAGATGAACATATGTGATGGAATCTAAAATCTATTTATTCATCTAGAGGAAAAAATGGTAGAGAATAGTCAGAAAAATCCTTTAAAAGAAAGAGTGATAGGGATAGGAGCTAATCTGCCCTTCTACAGATTTAAAAATCTTGGCCAGCACGGTGGCTCATGCCTGTAATCCCAGCACTCTGGGAGGCCAAGGCAGGCAGATCACCTGATGTCAGGAGTTCAAGACCAGCCTGGCCAACATGATGAAACCCCTCTCTACAGAAATACAAAAATTAGCAAGGCATGATGGCAGGTGCCTGTAATCCTATCTATTTGGGAGACTGAAGCAGAAGAATCACTTGAACCCTGGAGGTGGAGGTTGCAGTGAGCCAAGATTGCACCATTGCACTCTAGTCTGGGCAACAGTTCAATACTCTATCTCTCTCTCTCTGTCTCCTCTCTCTCTCTCTCTCTCTCTCTCTCTCTCTCTCTCTCTCTCTCTCTCTGTATATATGTGTATGTATCACAGAATGATAGTAATTTAAGTGACATACTGTTAGGAAGCAGATACACAATTTTTGAATGACCAAATACCAGGAACAATATGTTTGACATTTATCATCTATATAGTTGAATCTTCACAGTTATCCCATTTGACACTGAGGAAATTGATCCTTAGAAAATATAACTAGCTCGGGGTGGTAGATATTATTATTTGCTTACAGTTCTTCATTATTTTGTCCTTGACAAGCCTTCTCTGTGGAGACAATGCACTCTCCTTTCCCATTCACTTAGGGTAGATTGGGTGATCTTCAGACCAATGGAGTGTGGATGGAAGAAAGAATGTGTTGGAGATGAGGTTTAAGACTATGGTAAGTTTCGCCAGACTTTTTGTACTCTTACCATACATTATAAGAAGAATTTTTGGCAGGGCGCAGTGGCTCAAGCCTGTAATCCCAGCACTTTGGGAGGCTGAGGTGGGTGGATCACGAGGTCAAGAGATCGAGACCATCCTGGTCAACATGGTGAAACCCCGTCTCTACTAAAAATCAAAAAAATTAGCTGGGCATGGTAGCGCATGCCTGTAATCCCAGCTACTCAGGAGGCTGAGGCAGGAGAATTGCCTGAACCCAGGAGGCGGAGGTTGCGGTGAGTCGAGATCGTGCCATTACACCCCGCCTGCGTAACAAGAGCGAAACTCCGTCTCAAAAAAAAATAAAAGAAGAAGAAGAAGAAGAATTTTTTCCAGGAAGCTGTTGTTATTACAGCCTGAAAAAAGAAAAAATGTGTAGCACTCAAATCTGACCTGTAGCTTGGAGCAGGGTCCATGTGTGTCCTGAAGAACACTGCAGTGTGACAACTGACCCAGATACCCATGAAAGAAATATTTGTTGTTGTACACCCCTGAGATTTGAGGAAGTGTTTGTTACAAAGTACTATTTCGGAAAAACCCGAGCAATACCTTGGAATTATACAGCTAAGATCAATGAACAATACCTTGGAATTACACAGCTAAGATCAATGAACAATTTACACAGCTAAGATTTCAATGAACAATACCTTGGAATTACTCAGCTAAGATCAATGAAACAGAGGTGAAAATCTGGAACTAGATAACAATGTGTCCAAGAATTTAACGGAGAAAGTATGGATTGCTCAAAAGTGGTGTGGGGAAAGTAACTAACCATTTGGAAGAAATATGGTTAAATCTTTAATGTATACTTTTAAAAAAGAAACTCTAAGTAGGTTAGAGATATAAATGAAAAATATGAAAAGATAAAGATAATATAATTAGAATAAAATACAGATTTTTTTCTCACTAATCTTGTTATAAAGAATGTCTAAGAGTGATATCAAAGGCATTAATTGGAATGCATAAAAACTTTGCATGATGAAAATGACATAAGGTAAAAAGACTAATGACATACTAAAGAATACATATCACAAACAAAAAATTAATATTTTTAATCCTTGAGAAGTGTTTACAAGCCAATAATAATAAGATGTATACTTCAGAAGAAAAGCAGAAATAAGGTAATAGCCCATAGACACATGGAAACATGATAAACTTCATTAGTAATTAAATTCTGGAAATTAAAAGAAAGAGTAAAATATAATTTCCAACCTATTGGGATGTAAATGATATTTAAGACAATATTAACACAGTGTATTCTGAGACTTGGCAGAATTTGAAAATAAAAAATAAGAAAAGAAAAACCAGTGTAGAAAAGCTGTGAGAGCAAAATGACTATGACGTCTTTTGGAGGACAGTTCAGCAATAACGCATATTTTAGAAAAAGCATTTAATTTTAAGACTTTTGTCTTATGCAGACTCATTGATCTATCATTTCCATTTCTTAAGGAATAATCTTGTCAAATGTAAAAAGATGTATTACAATATTCAAAGTAAAAAACTTGAAACTACCTAAATGTTAATCAACAGAGGATTGATCAAATAAATTATAGAATAGACATAAAATAAAATATTCATTTTAACAGTAGCCATTAAGAATTATGAAGATCTGTATTTATGTACATTAAAAGGCAGCAGTGATTATATATTAAGGGAAAAAAGGAGGCTATAAAACTATACACAGTGTGGTCTCATTTTTATAAATATGTGAAATATATGTTAATATAATTAATATTTGAGGAATAGGCTTAAAATTATTTATGGTAGTTTTTTTTGGATGATAGGTTTATGGTTGATCTTCATAGAAGAAAATACTTGTAGTCTATAATATTGAATGCTTTCTACAATGGTAATATATAGCCAGAAATAAAAGCAAAACACTTGCCTTTTTGAAATGAAAAATACATACAAGCAATATCTTCTGCAAATATGGAAAAGTTTATAGGACTCAAAATGGGTGATACCTATTGTTTCCTCCTTGTCTAGGCTCTCATAAATTATTCATGGAAATCCTATTGTACTAATAATTATTTTTCGTTCATTACTCCTTTGCATTCCTTTTCAGAGAGTGACAGGTATTATGCTGTGCAGTCATTTATATTATAGAATATTCTTTATAATAGATATTTTCTTAAGCCATGTTTACATGATTTAAAAATCACATAAACAAAAGAGTTACTTTGGCTAAATTCTTAATATTTCTACACAAACCAATAATTTTAGCTTGAACCTGTACTGACCAACTTGAATGGACCAATTACTTTTGGATTATTTTTAAGATTAAAGTCAAGAAAAGTATAAAAATTAACAGTTTCCTTCAGTTATTTAGAGGAAAAAAAATAGAAAAAAGTCTTCAATGAGAAAAATTAACTTTACAAAGAATAGCAATTAGGCAATTGATATAGTATTATACATATCTCTATCAATCTATTGATAGTGATACAGATATAAAAAAACCCAGGGATAAACTAATAAGCTACAGAACTTGTGTAGGACCCATATGATGAAATTTCAAATTTTTCAAAGGATTGCAAAAAGTTTTGAAAACTACTTCTATAAGAGTAACTGACAGGCTGGGTGAGCTGGCTCATGCCTGTAATCCCAGCACTTTGGGAGGCCGAGGTGGGTGGTTCACGAGGTCAAGAGATCGAGACTATCCTGGCCAACATGGTGAAACCCCCTCTCTACTAAAAACAAAAATTAGCTGGGTGTGGTGGCACGCACCTGTGGTCCCAGCTACTTGGGAGGTTGAGGTGGAAGAATCGCTTGAACCCAGGAGACGGAGGTTGCGGTGAGCTGAGACTGCACCACTGCATTCCAGACTGGCGACAGAGCAAGACTCCGTCTCAAAAAAAAAAAGTAACTGATAATATTTTAAAGCTGTCCCATCATTTATATATTTAATGTAATTCTGCTTAGGATTTCCAATACGTTTTTAAATTAGCTATGACATTACCTTTCTTTTAATTGGGCAGCCCTCTGAATCAGAATAGGTCTAGAGAGAGTCCTAAAAAATTTTTATTGTGAAAATAACATGGGCTTCTCCTGAAAAATTCATGCCATGCAGAAGGTGTTAAGTGAAAAATATTGTCCTTGGCCTACATCCTGACTCCTCAATCCAACTCCCCAGAGGTAAATCATTGTAAACAGCTTTAAAAAAAATTGTGGTAAAATATACATAAAATAAAAAGTATTGTTTTAATCATTTTTAGGTGTACAGTTCAGTAGCATTCGGTACATTCACATTGCTGTGTGATTATTACCACCATTCATCTCTAGACCATTTCCATCTTGCAAAACAGTCTCCTCTGTAAACCTTTAACAATAACTCCCATTGTCCCTTTCCCTCAGCTCCTGGCAACCATCATTCTACTTGATGTCTCTATAATCTGACTACTTTAGGTACCTCAGATGAATGGAATTATGCAGTATTTGTCCTTTTGTGTGTAAGTAGCTTTTTAATAATCTTTTTGAAAGTTTTTTCAAAGACATTTACAAAAATTTTATGACTAATGCTTGTTCATGGTAGAAAATCCAAACTGCCTAAGAAGATTCTTTATAGTAAAAAGCAAAAGTTCCTCTTCTCCACAATGTCCATTCCCACTCACCAAAGCTAACCATTATTAACATTTTTTTGACCAATCTTCCAGAATGTTTGCATGTATCAGTAAGGAACATCCTCACATACACATGGGCATGCACACACACTTCTACGCTTTTTCTGACATTTTTTTAGTTTTGAGGGCTAATATATATGTTGTTGTACAATTTGCTTTTTTTACTAGCTTGAGTACTTTTTCACAGCAAAACATATGTTCTTAAGTGAATGTTTTTTTAACTTAATGTAATTCAGTATAAAATGAAAGAATAGTCAAGAATGACAGAAAATTTTGGAAAACTACTGAAGGACTTGCAATACCAGATATATGACTATATTATTAAAATAGTGTGATAAAGATAGAAGAATAGAGAAATCAGCGGAGTGGAAATTAATCTCAGGAGAGGACCCTAGAAGTTAAAGCTTTAAGCTAAATTCAAAAATCTTAAAATCACTAGGAAAGAAGTATATTATTCAATAAACTTGCAGGGACAATTGTTTGACAGTTGAAAAAAAAAGATCAAATCCTCTCCTCACATGATAAACCAAAACAAACTGCAGACATATTAAAGCATTAAATGCACAAAATGAAAACAAAAAAAATCATCAAATATGTAGGAGAAAACAAAAGTGAATATTTTAGCAGGGTATGGTCATGCTTTCCTGTAGTCCCAGCTCCTCTGAAGGCTGAGGCTGGAGAATCACTTGAACCCAAAAGGTCTAGGCTCCACTGAGCCATGATCATCCCACTGCACTCCAGCCTGGGTGGCAGAGGAAGACTCTGTCTGAATAAAAAAGAAGTGAAGTAAATTAAAAATAATAAAAGTGAGTATTTATCTAACCTTTTGTGAGGAAAATTTTCTTTTTTTTTTTCTTCCCAGATGGAGTCTTGCTGTGTCACCCAGCTTGGAGTGCCATGGCGCAATCTCAGCTCACTTCAACCTCCACCTCCCAGGTTCAAGCAATTCTCCTGCCCCAGCCTTCCGAGTAGCTGGGATTACAGATGCAAACCACCATGCCTGGCTAATTTTTGTATTTTTTTTTAGTAGAGACAAGTTTTCACTATGTTGGCCAGGCTGGTCTCAAACTCCTGATCTTATGATCCACCCACCTTGGACTCCCATAGTGGTGGAATTACAGGTGTGAGCCGCTGAGCCCGGCCGTGAGGAAGATTTTCTAAATGGACCACTAAAGGTAGACATCTTAATGAAAACACTCTAGAAATTGACAATTTCAAAGTGAAAATGTAAATAACAAAATATGATAAAGTTTAGCTTAGAAAGATACTTGTAAGATGTATGGCATAGTGTTACTATGCTAATTTTACATAAATAACTCTCTATATAAAAAATACATCCCAACAGAAAAAAATGGATGTTGTATAGGAATAAGTACACTACAAAGCAATATGTAAATGATAAACAAATATATGAAATTATTAAAGTTTTCAAGTAAGCAAAATAACTAAAAGAACAAATATTTTTCAAACACCAAATTAGACATCATTAAAAACCTGATAACATTTAGTGTTGGTGAAGATATGGATAAATAGAAAATCTCATCTACTTCCATTCTGGAAGTCACTTCAGCCTATTAAAACTTATTTTAAAAAATCTTTTTGACCATAAAATTCCCCTTTTAGAAATTTATCTGGAGGAAGTAATTATACATGTATGCAAATATTTGTCTACAGAGATGTTCCCATAGCATTGTTAGTGATATAGAAAAATTAGCAATTATTGGCCGGGCATGGTGGCTCATGCCTATAGTCCCAGCACTTTGGGAGGCCGAGGTAGGTGGATTACTTGAGGCCAGGAGTTCAAGACCAGCCTGGTCAACATAGTGAAACCCCATCTCTACTAAATAATACAAAAATTAGCCAGGCGTGGTGGCACATGCCTGTAGTCCCAGCTACTCAGTAGGCTGAGGCAGGATAATCACTTGAGCCTAGGAGGTAGAGGCTGCAGTGAGCCGAGATTGCACCATTGCACTCCAGTCTGGGTGACAGATGAGGCTGTCTCAAAAAAAAAAAAAGGGCTATTACCAAATACATAGTATTAGGGAACTTGTTAGATAAAACTGTGGTGCATTTATACTATGGAATACTATAGTTGGTATTTAACAACATCAGAAAATGTGATATATTTTAACTGAAGCCTCACTCATAAATGAGTAATGTTATATATCCTAATTATTTTTAATATATATTAATGCATAAAAATATATATAAGGATATACTCTACAGGATTAACAGATGAACAGATTAATGATTTTTATTTAATTATTTTTTATATTTCCATAACTTCCACAATTTCCACAATGAACATTTATTACTTTTGTAATCAGAAATAATGTTATAAAAATAAAATACTTTTAAAAAGCATTTATGATACAGATATTGTTATTTATGTTTTTCCTCAAGTGATTTGCTGCTCTGCCTTAGTTTGCCCAAGTCCCAGGTAAGCTTCTGGGCACTTGATTGAAAAAACAAATCAAATAAATCATTAGACTAAAAGTACAAGTCAAAGAGCTAAAATATATCTTTTCATTTTTAACAATGAAACGTGACTATTATAATTAAAATAATTCAATTTGCATTATATGCCTTTAAATAAAGATTAAATGGACCTCCCTCACATACCAAATTATTATGTAATCCAGTTTCATTTTTAACTAATGGGAACGCAAATTAGTATAATTTTATAATTTAATACTCAGCAACAGATTATATTTTAAAATAGAGGAAACTAAATATTTTTCCACATACCATCCTTAGGGAACAAAGCGTATCATAAGATATGACAAATAGAAAAGTCTTTATTTGTTCTTTCCAGAAAATGAAAATTTGCTGATTTGATGACAAATATATGTATACATATTATATGTAATAAAATTATCATGATAATAAAATCAATGAAATATTGAAATTTTAAGTGCAGGCTGGGCACAGTGGCTCATGCCTGTAATCCTAGCACTTTGGGAGGCCGAGGTGGGTGGATTACCTGAGGTCAGGAGTTCAAGACCAGACTGACCATCATGGTGAAATCCCATCTTTAAAAAAAAAAAAATTTAAAAATAAAATGAAAAACAAATTTTAAGTGCAAAGCATCTGGTTAAAACCGCCTACTCTTGCTCATATATCCTTTTTTATTTTCTATTTATATTAGCAAAATAAACTTTACATAATGCCTCAAATAGTTAATGAATATAAAACTCTAAAACAGCAAATATGTATTGTAACATATCTTTTGGAATCTGATTTCAGGTACGACTAATTTGACAGGCAGTATGATAAGGAACAATCTGAATGACATGTAAACAGGAGGGGGTAAATTCCAAGCACAGCCTGAATGAGAAGTACAACTCATTTCCCAAAACCCAGATGCGTTTTGAACACATCTCTGCAGTCTCCATGTGAAACCAGGAGCTGTTCCCAAAGGAGAAAACACTGCCCTCCAGTGGTCTTCAATGAAGAAATGGAAATAGTTTCAGGTACCATGATAGTAGCATTTACATGAAACATGGTGTATTTATCTAGTCTCAGTTTTGGCTGTATTTCTTAAGCTGAAACACGTCTACAACTGAGCATAAGGACAAAATTTCCAAGATAAATTCTAACAGGTAGTAACTCCAGTTAGATAGACATATTAACAAGAAGGATTATGAATTTCTGACCCCAAAAGCTGACCATTTATTTGATTATCAAAATTGGATTATGCTAGCCACCTATAGTTTCTCACTTCCCAGATAAGAAAGAAGAGATTTCATCTCTATGTTTCCCTTGTTGGCCAATTTTTTAGCTAAAAGACATTTAAAATTGTACAGCAGGCAGAACCCCAGGGGACTGAACAGTGTTCCAACATCCTTAAAGGCTTCCCATCACTTGAAAAACCAAATTCTTCCTCCTGTTTCTTAAACTAACCAAAGTAGGCAAAAGCAATTTTTAAAAGTCTTTGTGTCTAGCATTGGAACTTTCTCATATTTCACACCATTATATAAATGTCACTCTAACCTATATGTATCACAAATGCTACGCTAAATTAGGGCCAAATTTGCAACCTAGTTTAACTGGGTTTCCTCTTTTTGCAAATGCAGTTTTTGTGTCTGCATTTAGCAATGCATACAAAAACTGTCCGTGTAGCTAACTGCTTCAAATTGCTAAATTTGAGGATGGATGTGTAGATCTCCCAGTCTTTATGTATGTGCCAAAGCAATCCTGTTTCTAGTCATATAAAGACTTCCTAATCAAATGGACCTTGACTACATTGCTAAATTCTTGGACCACTTCACTTACTCTTTTGGATTTAGTAAAGGGAAAGATAAGAATTTTAAGAGGGGAAAGAGTTTTCAAACCTCCTCCATGTCTCTGTCCTTCAGGAACCAGAGTGGACTACAACACATAAGACAGACTTTAGAGTCTGACAGCTATAAAGCCTCATCCATTACAAGCTATGTGACTTAAACTTAGCTTTATTTTTTTCATCAGTAAAACAAAATCATGTTGGTTTCATTAGGTGATTATTAATGATTGAGTGAGAGATTATTAATGATTGAGTGAGAGAATGTCTAGCACAGAGAAAGGGCTTAACCAAGACATTATTATAATTATATCACCATCACTTCTTAGACTATTAATCCAGTGTTCAAGTAAATTTCCTAGAGGTATGACTTTCTAAAATTTATTCCCATTTGTCATCTTAAATAATGTTCATCATTTAGTTTACTATATAGAAAATGTCCTGAGTCCTCCACATACATTCTTTAAAACAAATGCCTTATGCTAAGAGAAAATATTTTAACATCACATTCCTCAAATATAGCACCTTTAAGTATGAATCAAGTTTTTCTTCTTTTCACTCCCACAGAAGATGGTATCCATTATATAATCACCGGGATTCACAAAGTGCTTTAGGATGTAAAAAATGACGAATATCAAAATTGTAATCATTACAACAGTGGTATAGTAATTAGACATATTTGGGTATATTGCAGTAAATTTTAAAGTTTCTGAGCTTAAGAAAATAAAGTTCCACAACCATAATTGTTCTAGTTATTTAACTTAATATACATTTCAGAGAGAAAAATTACTTTCTTTAGGAAATTAATGCACTATCCTTTGAGATGAAGAAAACCCTACACATTTTAACAAGACATTGTCTGTTCTTATCACTACCTGTGGTAAGGAGTTTTTACTGAGCCATGATAACGCACCTTTATCTCCTCCCTCTGTGTACACTTGCAGCATTATAACACATAGTTTTATCTGGGTAAATTTACTGAGTATGGTCTTTACTGATCATGACATCTCATCAATAATCTCATTATGATACTTTATGTTATACAACATTGACTCTTTGATTACTCAAAATATTTCTCATGACTCAGAATCAAACTGTGATTTAAAACAGAAAGTACTGATGAATGGAGAATGCAACAGTGATTGGATAAATGTTTGATATTTATCAAACTCTTAGAAAATTTTGGGACAAAGTACCATTTAAAGATAAAGCAAATAAGTACTGCTAAATATTGCAATAGTGTATATGTGTTACACTGAAGCCTGTGTATAAGCATTAACTAGGTACCAATAAATGCAAATAAACTTTGGTTATAGCTTATCTAAATCTCAAAATTTGACAATTAAACATATGAATTTGTAATAAACATTCTGAATTTTTAAAAATGTATCATATATTTGTAACAGTGCCAAAATAATCTAAAGTCAGAACACTTTCTGGGTATAATTATATTATTATAATTCTCTACCTTGACAGATGACAATTTTAGAACACCCTAAATACAATTTCTAGTATATGCACTAAAATAAAATGTAACAGATAGACAACTCACCATAGTATAAGTTAACACATTCAAATTTAGTAATTTATTTTCCAGGTGGAAACCAGGCTTCTTGGAAGACTTCAAACTATGCCAAATGGTCTGATTTCACCATAGAGGTAGGCACTAGAGGACTAAATTTACTTCTGTGTAATTTTTGTTAGCTACATTTTACATGCAAATGTCTATACAACCATGTTAATGAAGTTATAAAGAAGAAAAGAAAGTTGGCATTCCCGCTTTTGTTTTATTCCAAAGCAACTTTTCAATTGAGTTACTATCATTTTAAGCCATTGTTATTTAATTATAAGAAAACAGAAAAGTCTAACAATGCATTCAAATTGGATTGCAAGTAAAGAAAAGCAATATCTTACTTCTAAATAAAATTTAGATTTGACATTTTTTTCCCTCCTACTTTTTTTTTTTTTTTTTTTTTTGAGACAGAGTTTCACTCGTTACCCAGGCTGGAGTGCAATGGCGCAATCTCGGCTCACCGCAACCTCCGCCTCCTGGGTTCAGGCAATTCTCCTGCCTCAGCCTCCCAAGTAGCTGGGATTACAGGCACATGCCACCATGCCCAGCTAATTTTTTGTATCTTTAGTAGAGACAGGGTTTCACCATGTTGACCAGGATGGTCTCGATCTCTTGACCTCGTGATCCACCCGCCTCAGCCTCCCAAAGTGCTGGGATTACAGGCTTGAGCCACCGCGCCCGGCCCTCCCTTCTACTTTTATGGCGTTCACAACATAGGATCCTTCTAGTGGAATCAGACAAAAAAAAGTTTTGTTAATAATAAATATTTTATTTATTATTAAAAACTTCAATTTTCTGATCCTGAGTTGGTTATTTAGAAGAAAATTTGTTTCCTGCTTATCAAGGGGCTCAAAATTTTGTGCACCCCAAGTGGAATTGAATGCTTAATTGATAGCTATGCAAAATCTTTTTTCCAAGAAATAAGCAAATACATTTAAATTTGACATGGGTAAATTTCCTATAAAAATGTTGATATTCAAGATTCAAAGCCCATATTGGTAATGAAAGTGGGCCGTATACTTTTAGGTGGAACATTAATAATGTAAAATTTGTCTCATTATAAGAAAAGTGTGCCTATGGTATATGAAAAATAATGGTTTAAACTAAAGACACAGTTGATTTGCAATAAAACTGAAAGTAATATCTCCAGAAGTGTAGGTGATAAAAGGAGAAAGAGAGAGCAATAATGGTTGTAACTCTGTTTTTATGATATAGGTTACAGCCAAGACTGGATACAATCTTATTTCATATATTCAAAAGAATAAAGCAAAATAAAACCTCCTTCACCCTCACACATTAAAAGGAATCAACATCTTGACCCAAAGTTAAAACTCCTATAACTTGGAAATATCTGTAAAACCCCCAACACCAAGGTTTCTGTAACCTGTCACATCAGAGAAATAGGGTGATCTTCCACCATGGAAATATGATCATTAAGAATTCACAGATTATCTGAAACATTGGCTAATCACCCCCTACCCCCAACATCCCCTCCTCCACTGAGCTAGAGGGAAAGAGAAAAAGAAGAGCGGGAGAGGAAGACTCAAGGCATTGGTGAAGCCTGCTATGTAAATGCCAGGCACTTCTTGGGGCTTAGACCACCAACCTAATTCTAGTCAGAACTACTGTAGGACTGACTGTATCAGGGCAACAGATTACTTAGTGTGTGATGATTGGGGTGGGGGGACCACAATGTTAAGAAATCTAACAAATTCATAGATTTTTAAAAGACATTTGAGAGTGTTGTGTTTACTCATGCTGGGCAACATAAACCATAAACCTTGCTGGATTTCTGCAAACTGCTACATGAAGGATACAAACGACATTCCTGTCAATGGAAGGAAGAGACAGACAGAAATCAAGACAGAGATAGGCAAAACCCCGAGGATGTGAAGCTTCTTCCAATTGCAAGCTGTAGTGGAAGGTGATGATGACACCCAGAACAAAAATGTCTTTTTCACAAAGATGCTAAAGCCCTTGTTTTGTGATCTCTGTGTACAGAAAGAATGATCCATGGAAAGGACTTAATTTCTCAATTTTCTGGAATCAAAATATAAGGGCTTTTTAGTTATTTTAAAGTTCTTCCTGTAGAGCATATTGTTGTGTTCCATGAAACAGACAAAACTCAGCAAGACAACAAAGACTTGATCTGCAGGAGAGAAGGTATTAAAGAGCAAGTCTTCTCCAGAGGGTAATTAATCCTTAGTCATTCATCTTAGAAGTCCCAGTTACAGTTAAGGTTAATGTTCAGGTAGCTTCTTTCTATTTTCTTTAAAAATTTTTTTAAACATTTTTTTTTTTTTTTACAGAATGTTATACTATTAATTGCCAATTTGCATATGTGTGCAGCTGCTGTTTTGGCTCTGAACTCAATCCGATAAGCTTGCTGGAGGTATCGCAGAGCACTTGGCAGCTTTCCTATTTGAAAAGAAAGCCTCTCCCCTCTACAGAACAGCTGATCGTCTATCAGCGATAGACCCTGATGGCGTGAATTACAATTACACTACTTTTCACACTAAATCTGGGTGATAGCTACTTGGAAAGAAGTTTCATCATTTTTTACCACAAACTGGAAAAAGAATTACATGGTCATGCTGTGCTTTTAAAGGCAGTTTGGTTCACTTTTGTCTATTTAACACCTAATTCCAAGAAGTCCATAGGCATCCAGAGATCTGAATGGTGTGTAATGAATTCACTGTTTAGATTGAAGATTTTAAAAATCTACCTCAAATTACATTTATTAACAGGGCGACCAGGAAGTGTTAAAGTTGTTAGACGCTTCATTTATTAAATAATTTGTGGGTATTTTCAGTTGTCATATCTAGAGTCATGGGGTTTGCTTATTTTTTTTTAATTAGCAATCCAAAACAATGCTACTGAAATTTAACAATTCATCACATAATCTTGGGCTCTTCAGTTCAGCTGCTAATGTTAGATAATTCAGATTGTTATTTTGATCTGTTTATAAATGATTTGGGTTGCATTGTGCTGTGAGGAGAACTGCAGTAGCCCAGGCAGATGAGCTTTCTCTTATTTCCTGCATTGCTCAGGATGGTTGAGGGCCTTTCCAAAAAATGCATTTGGGGAGTTAGCTTTAGCATCTAGCAAAAGCAAAGAAGTGATGGGTCAGGGGGCACTAATAATAACTTGATTTATCATCAGTTATTTAACTTCATTATTAATTTACATTTCCTGTTTGTTCGGAAAACTGAGGAAGGGCCTCTTTGCCAAATTACATTTTGTTAGAATCCTCCATTTCTCCCATTTTCTGGGACGTTAGAAATTATGGTCTTTCCTCTTCTTGAAAGAATCGGCCAGCCATCAGAAAATTGAAAAGGCTCCTAAACATCCTTTTTCTTTCTTCTTTCTCTCCTCAGCCCTCTTCCCTTCCCATCTTGACATTTAAATCCATTTATTGGGGGGGGGGGAAGAACAAGAGTTAAACCCACCTCAGACAGCAGAAGTGGAACACATTAATCCTGACGTAGTTAACCTAAGAGGAAAATAGATTTTGTTTTCCTCTTTTAGTCGCTAGCTTTATTAGATTTCTCACTCTCACAGATTATCCGAAGACTACCCATTGATTGATCGCCCGTAGAGCTGCATTTGGTGTAAAGAAAAAACTCACAGCTTTATTGGCTCTCAGGAGACAAAACAAACAGAACAAGATATTCATATTAATGCAAACAATGCAACAAATGAGGGGAAGAATCGCCCGGCTGAAGCGAGGCCCAGCGCTGCCGCGGCTGGGGGCGCTGAGACGGGCCTGAGCGCCTCCCTCCCGGGAGCCGAGGTTTCCCGGCGTTCCACGACCCTGGGCGCCCGGAGCAGTCGGTCCCCCAGGCCTCCAGCCGGCAAAGAGGTCCTGGGGTTCGGGCGCGAGGCCCCTGTAGGGCCGCAGGCGGGCCAGGCCAGCGCCTGGAAGAGGCCTCCTGTCCAGGCCTCTGGGAAGGGCCTGCCTCTCTCGGCCCCTCAACGCCCGCAGGGTGGCACTGGAAGGGACCTAAAAGCGCTCCAGCTTTCTGCTTTCCTCTTCCCCAGGCCTCCCAGGGGCCCACTGCCCGCATCTTAGTTTCCCTTTCCTGCAGGGTCAGGGGTGAGAGGGAAGGATTCTCAGGTGTCATCTCCTAACCCGCCCGGAAGCGGAGGCTAGAGAGACGCCGGGGCACTCTGGAGGGGAGGAAGCGGTGTGCCACGAATTCTCTCTCTTAAACGCTCACGTTATTACGGAGGAGACTTTATAAACACTTTACACACAGCACAAACCATTTTATCAGCAAAAGCAAGGGGAGGAGGGCGTACGGTGAATGCTGAGAGATGTTCAAGAAGCCCCGAGACGTTCCCTGCGGAATGAAAAAGGAAGAAAGAAGATTCCGGGCGGAAGAAGAGATATTAGCTCCACACCTATCCACCTCCCCAGCCCCAAACTAGGAGAGAATCTGCTAAGATTCAATTTCATATCTATATAGTCAATGTGATGTTAAAAATAGGGTTGCCAAATATTGCGTGGGGCATTCTTAGAGTAAAACATTGTTACCTACCTGAAATTCAAATTTAACTGGGCATCCTGTGTTTGTATTAACTAAATCTGGCAATTCTAACTAAAAAATATTTTGCCGAAGAAACCATACAATAAGGAAAGCTCATTGTCTGATGTAATCAGATTATTGGGGACATTTTTAATGGAACCTTGCCTGGAAAAAGAAACCGAGTTGCTCCTAAAGCATACTTTTGTAAGCACGTGGTATGGTGAAGGAAGAAGAAATGACTGAAGCGACTTGGAAATGTCCTTGCATATTTGAGAAGGAAGTGGCAGTCATTTGTTGCTACTTCACTAGGAAATGGACCTGAGTTCCTTCCCTAAGGTTGGTTGATTGGGTCTCACCCACAGAAACCTTCCCTTCCTAGCCAGTAGACCATACCCTAGCATGTCTGCAAGTTAGCTATGGTGGTTACCATGTTGGCATTAGTGTATACATTTTTGTTTTCTTTTTCTTTTTTTCTTTTTTTTTTTTTTAAGAGGGAGTCTCTCTCTGTTGCCAGGCTGGAGTGCAGTGGCTCCATCTCAGCTCAGTGCAACCTCCAC